CCTGAGTCCCCACAGAAGCTATTTGAGGGGACCCCTAAACACCTCGTGAAGCTGCTCAGAGGGCCCCCCAGCCCACCTGGCTGCACCACCAAGGGCACAGACACATCCCGCCCTGCCACATTCAGCCCGTTTGGGATAAGGATTCAAGGGAACAGCTTAGACCCCAAAGCGACACAAGAGCTCAGGAGCAGCAGAGGGAAGCAGCCCCCGCCAGCCCCCTGCCAGCCTTTCCCAGTCAGAAACGGCATGGAAGCCCCATGGAAGCCCCATCCAGCCCTATTGCCAGGCAGATCCAAGGAGCTGCAGCAGCTGTTTTGCTCCGGAGAAAGCTCCGGCTCCTTTTACAATCAATCAGCCACCCCATCACGGCTCTTTTTTTCTTTTAAAGGAAGCAGTTAAATCCATTTTATGGAATCCAGCGGTATTTACCCGGCTACTGCAAGAGCCGCAGCCCTGCCTTCCCTTTTTTTTTAATTTAAGTTAATGAAGTCATTCCCATACGACCCACAAGGAGCCCTGGGTGCTCCTTTCCCCCTGGCACAGGGAGAGAGAGAATGCCTCCAGTGAAACGTGGGCTGGGCATGGGGGGTTCTGCCTTGTGGGGTGCAGGAGCTGGGAGGGTTCCCAAAGTCCTGGCACCCAGCAAAGGATCCCCCCCATTCCAAAGGGAAACTCCAACTGGAAAGCAGGCTGTCCAGGCTTGCTTTGCCCAAGCCAGCCTTCGGGAGATGAAGAAAAGCCCTGGAAAGGCCAAGGTGCACATGGGGGCTATGGGATTCTTGATGGGAACACAGAATCATAAATCCTGGAATGGTCTGGGTTGGGAGGGGACCTTAAAGCCCATCCAGCCCCACCCCACCTCCTGCCATGGGCAGGGACATCTCCCATTGTCCCAGGTTGCTCCAAGCCCTATCCAACCTGCCTTTGGACTTTCAGGGATGGAGCAGCCACAACTCTCTGGGCAACTTGTGCCACGGCCTCCCTACCCTCACAGCCAAGAATTTCTTCCCAATACCGAACTTAAACCTCCCATATTTTTAATTTAAAGCCATTCCCTACCTCTCAGCCTCAGGAAGGGGGAGTCTCTACACGCCAGAAATGACTTTCAATTAAAAATAAGCAGCAAGTTTTCCCTATTGCCCAAATGCTGACACTCCTGTGCCCGTGGCTCCCGTAATTCCATTCCATCTGCTCCAACAAGTGCGAGCCCCTCTCTCTGGAGCTCCAGGCCAGCCCTTCCCCTCGGAAACAGCTTTCCCACAAGCACTTTGTCCCTCGTAAAACGGCATTAAAAGAGGCAAAGATCTGCCAGGCTTCAACCCCAGTGCTGACAGAATTCCATGGGACACCATCATGTCATTAAAGGCAGAATAAAAATACCACGAAGGATTAGACTTTTGTCTGGGTTTTTTTTTCCTCTTCCCCTCACCTTTTTTTTTTTTTTTCTCTTACATAAATGCATTTATTTGGTTTTTAACAAGTTCGGAGCTGAGCAAAACTTTCTAGAAGGGGAAGAGGGAAAAGCAGAGGCGAAAGGAGCCGTTCTCTGGATGATGTGTCCCATTTCCCCCACCTCCTTATTAAAATACTTTCTGGGGAGGCGAATTCCAGCCTGAAATGAATTTTCCAAACTATATTTTATTAGGAATGCTTCCCTTTAACGGTCGGTACAGGAGCCCACCAGGGTCAATATTTCTCCCAAATTACAGCCAAGGGAGTTGAGAAAGGATTTAGGCAGAATTCCTCCGGCAATTCCCGGCTGTCCAAGGAGAGCACGCTCCCACTGCCCCCCAGCTGTGCAGCAAAGGGGACGAGTAAATCTCAGAAGCACTTTCCCCAAAGCCCCCCTTGGACACGATGGAATAAATTAAATCCATATTGCTTCTCCAAGCCCCCTTCCAAAGGGTTCTGCAGGCATCCCAGAGAAAGCTCGCTCAGAGGGTGAGCTCATCTCAAGCACAGGTTTGAGACAATTAGCACTTTTTCCAACAAAACCATTCCTAGGCCTATTTTTTTTCCCTTTCAAAACCCAGCATCCTCACATTGGGAAGTGGGTGATGATTTCACTGCTGGCTTTGGGACACACACCCAGGAGCTGACCTGGGCTTCCCAACCCAGCACACAGCTTAAGCCTGACTTAACTCGATTAGGAAATCATTCCATCTATCGGATGTGTTATCAGCATCCCTCTGATAACACCAGGAGCCCCAGACTCGCTGGTAGAACTGGAGCCCACAGCTCCCAGCTGCCCAGAAAGGGCAGGAAAATATTTTCCTTATTTACAGCAATCGCGCTGAGGCCGGCCGGGCCCGAAGCGCCACGCTTGCTCCTCGAATCCGTTGGAAAATTCCACTTAGCCGTGTTATTTTAAAAGGCTTTAGCTCTCTTTACTCTAAAAACAAGAGTTTAAACTCAGCAGAGTGGGATGGGGGCTGGCACAGCCCCGACACTGCCCCAGGAAGGGGCTTGAAAGCCCAAATACAACGGCGAAGGGTTTTTATGGATCTGTCTGGAAGATGATCCCAATCCAACCAAGAGCATGAGTTTTCCTCCAGCTGGAGCCGGACTTTGCCCAGCACATCAATCCCCAGACTGGTTTCCTCAGCTGGGTTTGCTGGGAGCGGCCGTGTGGAAGCTCTGCCCAACGCCACGCAGCCGGCAAAGCTCGGAGCTGGGAAATAAAGCGACGGATCCCAAAGACAGATCCCGGACACGAGGATCCGGGATTGCTCCACAGGGGCACAGACTGGAGAGATCTGAATGGGATCACAGCTGGGCCCCGAGAGTCCCCACAGAGGCAAAACACTTCCATGAGTTTTGCCCGTGCATGTCCCGGCAGAGCTGTTCCTGGGTGGAAACGCTGACGTTTCGGGTGCTTCCCACTCTCTCCTGTCCCTGTGGGGACACAGGGATGGGGAAGCACCCACAGAGCAGCCCCATATGGGATGGCACATTCCCAGAAAGCTGTGTCCAGGGCAGACACCTCCGAGCTCCACATCCACGGACAACCAAGAGCAGACAATCCCCAAACTCCAAATCCCCAGAAAATGGAGAGAGGCAACCACTGAGCTCCAAACTGGGAGAGAACTGAGGGTGGAAAAGCACCGAGATCCAAACTGGGGGAGAACTGAGGGTGGAAAAGCAAAGAGCTCCAAACTGAGGGTGGAAAAGCACTGAGCTTCAAACTGGGGGAGAACTGAGGGTGGAAAAGCAAAGAGCTCCAAACTGGAGAACCGAGGGTGGAAAAGCAAAGAGCTCCAAACTGGGGGAGAACTGAGGGCAGACAAACACTATGATCTGAATTTGGGGAGAATAGAGAGCAGGCAGCCAACGAGCTCCAAACTGGGAGAAAACTGGAAGCAGATAAACTCTGAGCTCTGAATTAGGGGAAATGAAAGGTGGACAACCCCAATTCCTGAATTCGGGGGAAACTGAGAGTGGGCAACCACTGAGATACAAACTGGGGGAAAACTAAATCCAGACAACCTCTGAGCTCTGAACTAGGAGTGAACCAAGGCAGAAACTGCTGAACTCCAAAAACTGGGAGCAGAAAACCACCAAGCTCTCAGTTTGGGAAAACCAAGGAACCCCTCAAGCTCTTTCCGGACACCCCACCAGGGAGGGACATCTCCAATGCCACCATTCCAGGGCTCAGTGGGAAGTCCTGGAGCGTCACCCCTGTGCCAGCCGACGGCCACGGCCTCCTCCCAACTTCCCAGTCCTCAGCAGCTTAAGGAAAACCCAGGATAAGGAAGGGAAGAGGGGTGACACGGCATCCTCCACCACCAAGCTGGAGCCGCCTCCACCTCCAGCTGCCTTTTCCCAAATAAAAACTCTATTTTCTGGAACCAATTTGCCTGCCAAGCTCACGAATCCAGCAGGGCAATTCCCGAGGGGAAAAGGCTCTTTCTATTCCCAGCCAAGTGACAAAACTCCCAAAGAAATGAAAGGAAAAGCACACCGAGGAGAACGAAGCCACGGAGCCGCCGTCCCAGCGCTTCCAGAGCTGGGGACACGCAAAGTGTGCCTGCAAAGTTCCTTTTTCCCCACCAAGAAATCAAGGAAATAAACATTTGGTTGGAATACGTGTCCACGCAGGAAGGTTGTCCAAATTGTTTCAGTTTTTTCCAACCCTCAAAAAACTCTTTGGATTATTTTTGGGTTATTTTTTGCCTTGAGAAGTGTGGTGGGCGAAAAAGAAAGAAGGCTAAAAGCAGGAATTTTTTTGAAAGGAGAAAGGAGTAAGATAAATAAACATTCCACGATCTACAAGATAAAGCTGAGCAAGGGCCACCGACCCATCCTGACCACCAGCCCTGGTGTAGGGGCGACCAAACACCCCCCATTCCTGCTCCTCCTGGCCCTTCATACTGTTCCTGCACAGCAGCCGCGTCCACATCCACAAATTTATATAAGAAAATATATAAATTTATAGGATTTAGGTGTCTGTACAGGCGGAGCAGCCCCACTGCCCGCTTTGTTCGGACCCAGCCCGAAGTGGGGGCGGAACGAATCCCCTCGCCTTCCTCCGCGGCTGATTTCGGATGAGAAGACCCAGAAAAAAATAGTAATTAAAAAAAAAAAAAAAAAAAAAGGTAATAAATCCAAACGCTGGAGGAAAGCGGCGATCCGGGGGGGAAAAAAAAGGCGTGAAAAATGAAAAAAAAAAATCAAGAAACAAAGCGTGGTTTTCAAAAATAAAAACGGAATTCAAGAGAGGAAAAGCTGCGAGAAGTAAAAGCATTGTTAAAAACAGGGGGGAAAAAGGAAAGGAGGATTTTTTTTTTTTTTTTGGTACGAAAAGCAGCGCGGCGCCGCGGGTTCGTCCTCAGCCGGGGGTCGCTCCGTCCGCCGCCCGCAGCCTCCAGGAGCGATTTTACCTTAAAAACCTCGCTGTTTCCGTAAAATTCGCATTTAGAACAAGGTTTCGGTGCCTTTTTCCCCGCGGGGGGTGCGAGGCGCGTCCCTCCCGACCCTCCCCCTTCTCTCGCCGCACGTACTTGGGGTTCGCGGAGCTCCACGACACCGGCTCCAGGCTCTTGGCGAGCGGCGCGGCGAGGCGGCACAGGGCCAGCAGGACACCCAGCAGCCACCGCCCGCCGCGGGGCCGCGCCATCGTCCCTCGGCGGCGGGACGGGCCGGGCGTCAGGCGCCCATCACGCTCCGCCGCCGCCTCCTCCCGCTCCGCTCCCTACCCGCCGCCTCCGCCCGCCCCGCACCGACTGAGGCGCCGCCCGCCGCGGCAGCCGCTCTACCCCTCCGCGCAGGCAGCGGCGTGGACAGCCCGGACGGGCGGCCAATGGCTGAAGGGAGCGGGGGGGGCCTTGCGGAAGGGCACGCCCATTGTGGGTTCTTAAGGGGAGCGCGGAGGATTTTTGCTTTTTTTTAATGCCCCCCCCGGTTGCTGGCCGTCGCTACCGGGTTACCGGGGGGAGGGTAAAGAGGCGACAGCGTTGGGGACGAGCTGGCAAAGCGCCGGTATGGGCACCCCACCGGCTTGTCCCCATCCCCGTGGAACCCGTCACCCCCCCTCGCTGCGCGCCGCGCTTGGCCTCGCCCTCCGGTTCAACCGCGATCCTACAGCGCCCCCCAGCGGACGGCGCCGGCTACGCCCGAAGAAGCGGCGGGGCCGCAACGGAACCGAAATATTCCAAAAAATCCCTGGACTGGGAGGGGTTTCAAGGGGTTTGACCGGTTTGGGATTTTTTTGTTTTCCAGCGGATTAGAGGGTATTTACATTTTTAATTTTTAAAAAACAAATATTAATGAAGATTTTCTGGGTTTTTTTTTCATTTTTAGAGGGTTTTTCAAAGGTTTTATTCATTTTTTTCCCAATTTCTAATAAAGATTTTCCACTTCTTTTGACGTTTTAGAGGGCCTCTTAAAGATTTTTAAATATTTATACATTTTTCGAAGGTTTTTTAAAAGATCTTTCAATATTTTTCGATTTTTTTTTCCGAGGGTTTTTAAAAAATATTTTACATTTTTGGGAATTTTTGGGGTTTTTTTCAAGTTTTTAACTTTTTTCAGGTTTTTAAAAGATTTTTAAATTCTTTTTACTTTTTTGAGGGTTTTTAAAGCAACCTCTGATTTTTTTTTAACTTTGTTTAAAGATTTTTTGGAACCTTCTGGACTTTTTAAAGTGTTTTTAAAATATTTGCCTTTTGCCATTTCTTTTAAAGATTTGGGGTTTCTTAACTTTTTTACATGATTTTAAATTTTTCCCAGATTTTCAATTTTTTTAAACTCTTTTTAAATTTTTCCCTTTTTATGTATTTTTTTCAGTTTTCTGATTTTTTTTTTATTTTTTTTTTTTAGTATGTTGGAGGTTTTTGCCATTTTTTATTTTCTTTTTAATTTTTTAAAGATTTTTTTTATTTTTCGAAGTTTTTACATTTTTAAAACCTCTTAAATCTTCTTGATTTTTTTCAGTTTTGAAGGTTTGGGATGGTTTTTAGGGTTGCTTTTTGTTGGGTTTTTTTTCAGATTTTAATTTTTTTTCCAAGGTTTCTTAATTTTTAAGTCTTCTGAACTTAATTTTTTTAACTTTTATTTTTTTTTAATCTCCAGAATTGTTTGGAGCTTTTCTTCCTTAATTATTTGTTTTAACTTTTTAAAATTTATTTTATTTTTGTGGGGTTTTGAGGTTCTTTTAAAATTTTGATTAAGGTGGGTTTTTTATTGCTGTGGCAATTTTTTGGATGTGTTCTGGACTTTTTGGAGTTTTTGTAATTTTTAAATGTTTTTTTTTCGTTTGGCCATTGGGAGGGAGGAGCCAAAATCCAGAATTAATTTTCTTCCTACTAAGAAAATCTTTGGGGTCACTTCACTTTCTGTTACAACAACAATAATAAATCCCTTTGGAGTTGGTTTAATTTCTATTAATAAAATAAAAACAAAATAAAATAAAACCCCCTCCCGAGTCTGTTCATTTTTTATTAAGGAAATTTTAAAAAAACCTCAAGTCAGTTCCTTTCTGTTACAAAAATAAACCAACAAATTTTGGCGTCGCTTTCATTTGTGTTGAGAAAATTGAAAAACAAACCGAAAAAGTCACTTTGGAGTGTAAAAATAAACCAAAACCCCCCAAGTCCCTTCGGTTTTTATTAAAATAATTCAAATTAAAACTCAAAAATTAAAAAAAAAATGGTGGAGTCAGTTCCGTTTCTATTGAGAAAATTATAAAAAAAAATTATACAACCAAGGTCAAATTGACTCCATATTAATAAAATTTATTTAAAATTCAAGGTTTTCAATGTGATTTTTGTGTCTTTCCATGTTGGGGGTGGCACGTGGAGTGTGGGGGCTCCCTGGGCACAGGGGGCAGCGGGATTTGGATTCTTCGGAGCCATCCCGATCCAAAGGAGAGGGAAATACCTGAGCAAGGAGGAGAAAAAAAAAATCCAAAAATGTGATTTTAAAAAAAAAAATATTTGAGTGCCTGGCTGTGTGAGAGGGGCCTTGGATCCCTGCCCGCTCATGGCTCATTTCCTGCCCATTCCTGGATATCCCTGCCCATTCCTGGGTGTCCCTGCCCATTCCCTGCCCTCTCCTTGCCCATTCCCTGCCTGTTTCTGGCTCTTTCTGCCCATTCCTGCTTTTTCTCTGCCCTCTCCCTGCCCATTTCTAGGTCTTCCTGCCCATTCCCTGCCTGTTCCTGGGTCTCCCCACCCATTCCCAACCCTCTCCCTAACTGCTCCCTTCCCATTCTTGGCTCTCCTTGCCCATTCCTGCCTTTTCCCTGCCCTCTCCCTACCCACTCCCTGCACCTTCCTGGATCTTCCTGCCCATTCATGGGTATCTTTGCCCATTCCCTGCCTGTTCTTTCTCTCCCTGCCCATTCCCTGCCCTCTCTCTAACTGCTCCCAGCCCATTCCTGCTGTCCCTGCCCATTTCCTGCTCATTCCCTGCCCATTCCTTGCCATTCCTTCTTTCCCTGCCCATTCCTGGCTTTTCCTGCCTTTTCCCTACCCATTCCCTATCCCCTCCCTGTCCCTTCTTGGGTCTTCCTTCCCATTCCCTGCCCATTCCTGAGTATCTCTGCCCATTCCCTGCCTGTTCCTGGCTCTCCCTTCCTATTCCTTTCCCATTCCTTCTTTCCCTGCCCATTCCTGGGTCTCCCAGCCTATTCCCTGCCCTCTCCCTACCCACTCCCTGCCCCTTTCCTGGGTATCCCTGCCCATCCCCTGCCCATCCCCTGCCCATTCCCTGCCCATTCCCTGCCCATTCTCTGCCCATTCCCTGCCCATCCCCTGCCCATTCCCTGCCCATTCCCTGCCCATCCCCTGCCCGTTCCCGCTCTCCTGCCCCTCCATCCCTGCCGATGTCATCAGGTCCTGTTGCCATGGCGATGCCGCTCTCCCTGCACAGGCTTGGGTGGGGATTCGGAGCCCGGGAATCCTTTGGAAAGGGGGAGGCTGATGTCGCCACATCCCCCTGTGCCCCACCCCTGCCAGGAGGGCACAGGATCCCTTCAGGATCACTTTGGGAACACTTTGGGATCAGACCCTGTGGCCTCTCCCCAGTTTGGTGCTGTGGGGGATGTGGATCCTCGGGATGAGGGGAATGAGCAGGTGAGGCAGGCACAGGTGAGGCAGGCACGAGCTTCCAAAGGTCACCACTTTATGGAGAGTTCCTCGGCACAGCCACACCTGGCACACCGGGAAAAACCCGGATTGTGGCCTCTGCCCACTCTGGAATGTGTCAGCGACACCAAACCAAACACTTGTACAGTGGGAGAGGCCCCGTGGGACGGGAACAGGTCTCATCCAGGGCAGTGGGACACCTTGGAGTCTGCACTCCTTGGAGAGGTGGGAGTCAGCCTGGGAGAACGGGAAATCTCCTTCCCAACCCTCCTGGTGTTGTCCCTCAGCAGGAAACACCTGCCCAGGGAAACAGAGCTCCTGATTTTCCCACCCAGCCATGGGAAGGAATCAATGGTGGCCAACCAGGGAGATTCCTTGGATGTTTCAGGGGGGGGAAAAAAATCCTATAAATTAAATGGGAAATGGTTCCCTGCCTCAGGTGCACTGGTGACACCAGGATCTGGGCTGGGCTCCAGGTGGGAGAAGGAAGGGATCCATATCCTGGGGGGGTGAGCCAGGGGGCTCGGAGCAGCTCTAGGGGACAACAAACCCCATCCATGCCCAAAATCCCAGGCATGGTGGGTGATCCTTGTGTTTCCATAAGGAGTTACTGGGATTTCCATCTCCCTTCCCTTTTCCTGCCCTGCCCTGGCATTCCTGGGGCAGGCATGGACATTCCCATGTGGATGTCACGAGTTTTGGGGGTCTCAGCTCCCACACAGCTCCATCCTGGGGTGCTGCTCCAGGCTCCCATTCCATAAGAGATCCAAGAGCCACTCGCAGACCTTGTGCTCCCGAGAGTCCTCACCTGCAAATGGTGAGGAACAAGACAGAGCATTGTTGAATTCCCAAATTCTTCACTTTTTTTGAGCCCAGGAGCTTCCTCGTGCCCTATCCATGCCCCCTTCCCACACATCCCACTGTGCCCTTCCCACCCCATGTGGATTCTGGACTCTTGGCTTCCTTTTCCTCCCTCTTCACCTCCCTTGAAACCTCATTAAAACAACACTTTTGGGGATAATCCGATCCCCAAAAATGGGATTTTGTCCCACCTGCTCCATTCTAAAAAGACTGGACTGGTGATACTCGGCATCATTCCCAAAATTCCCGGCTCTCCCACCTCCCTCCCTGCTGGCAGAGTCTCTCCGAGCCCAATCAGTCCCTCATCAAGTGATGAGCTGCAGCCCAATGTATTCCACAGCCACTTCACATTTAAATTACCTGAGAAATCTCGGAGCAAAAAAAAAAAAAAGGGGATAAAGCAGAGAAAAAAAAATTAAAAAAAAAAAAAAGAAAAAAAGAAAAGAAAAGGAAAAAGTCGGCTGAACACCAGGAAAAAGTGCTTAGTGCAGAAATCCGGGGGATGGTTCCCCCAGGAAAGCGCTGGAGTTATTTAAAACTCACCTAAATAAAATATCGGTGGGGAATAAACTCCTCTCATCCCACAGGCACCGTGGGACCAGGGAGATATTCCCCCTAAGTGTTTTCTAGGATGAAACGGATGAGATCCCACCGGGCTGGCACGTGTATCCCCAACACCCTGGCAGAGG